TGGGTAGCGCCTCAGAAAGGAGACCCGGGCCCAGAAAGAGGAAATGACTGCAGAGGGTAACCTCTTTTGGAGGCAGCTGGAACCCTGGACAGCGTCACGCGCTCTCTTGCTACCCCAGAATGATTCCTATGTGTGCAAGACTAACCTGGGAGTAGCAGAGACACCAGATCCAAAGAAGCCATGCAAGCAGGAACCAGGCAGTAGACATCTCAGTGGATACCCGGCTGTCCATTTAAGAACAAGGACCACTTCCTCTAGTGCTCTGGCAAATACATATAGGACACTCTCCCAAGATTCAGGCAATCCTTGGAGAAAGGAGGGGCTACTCCTTCAACCGTCTGAAACTAAGTGTCTACCACTCCCAGTAGAAATGTAGGCATATTACAGAAAAACGTTATGTTTCCTGCATCTCGGAGTTGGTAGACTAAGATAATCCCTCTGTAAGAATTATGGGGGGGAATAGTTGGAAACCAGCAAATGTCCGGCTAGGAAATTGGATAGAGGACGCCATCCACAGATGTAGGGAATAAAGGAATGGGAGCAAACTGAGTGGAGAATGAGGAGTTGAAGGTTTGGATGTGTTGAGGGTGAGATGCTGATGGGGTATCCACAGGTATGTCAGGGGCAGCTGGATAATGAGGACCGGTGCTCAGGAATGAGGTCTACCTGAAACTATGGGTTATGGCGTCATGGGGTCCACACATGCAGCAGCTGATGGGTGAGTAGTGGATCACAGTGATCTCATGTGCTCACTACTGCTGTTAAGTTTTTTCACGTGTATTAACTCATTTAATCCTCAAGGCAACCCCACGGGGGGCAGGTCTTCCTACTAACCTCATTTTTTGACATGTGATGAAACAGATAATCAATGTTTCAGGCCTCAGAGCGAGTAACCAGAGGAATCAGAGGTCACCCCAGGAAATCTACAATCTGCACATAGGACAACCACATGCTATAAGCTAGACTAGAAGCAAAGAGGAGAAAGGAGCTGTCAGGAGGAAAACCAGAAAAGCCTTGTATCACAAAACCCAAAGGAAGAGAGGACTTCGAGAAGGAAATGGTGGGAGGCACCAAATTTGCAAGAGATCCAGTAACTGATTATAATTAAACAGGCCCACTAGGATTGCACATGGGAGCTCATAATGCCCGGGGGAGGGAGGTGTCCTGACATCTGGGAAGGAAAGGACTTGTGGGCACTGCATGGGCCTGGAGGTGGGGAAGTATGGGGAGCCTGACTCTTCCAAGAGAGCTGTGAAGAGGAGAGGGCTAGAATCTGCATCGAACACGTTCATTTCTAAAAGGAGAACAATTTAGAGACTATTCTACGGCGAAGGGAAATCAGTAGAAGATGAAAGGTTTTTTGTTTGTTTGTTTGTTTGTTTTTAAGATTTTATTTATTTATTTGACAGAGAGACACAGAGAGAGAGGGAACACAAGCAGGGGGAGTGGGAGAGGGAGAAGCAGACTTCCTGCGGAGCAGGGAGCCCGAGGCGGGGCTCGATCCCAGGAGCCTGGGATCATGACCTGAGCTGAAGGCAGACGCTTAACGACTGAGCCACCCAGGCGCCCGAAGATGAAAGTTTTAAAGATACAGGCCTCGGAAGCTGTGACAGTGACTGTGAGTGTGAAGAGAAAGAACACTGGAGACACCTTCAGCCCATGACTTTAACCTCACACGGGCCCTGGTTGCTGACAACCCACGGGCCCTGGTTGCTGACAACCCCGCTGTACCTCCAGAGTCGGGCCGCTGTCCCGCTCTCTGGCACCGTGGTTCTCAGAGGGCTGGCCGCAGACCCGCAGCTTCAGCAGCACCCAGAAACTTGTCAGAAATGCAAGTTCTCCCGCCCACCCCAGACCTCCGGGATCAGAAAGTCTGGGCGGGGCTTTAACAGACTCTCTAGATGATTCTGTTACACACTCACGTGAGAACCAGTGCCCTCAACGACTCATTTATAACTCCTCCTCTCTCTTTAAATGTCCACCCCCTCCCACTTCATCCTCACTCTCAGCTGACCTTGCCTCCTATTTCACTGAGAGAAAGAGACCATCAGGAGAGAGTGCCCTCTCACTTCCACCACATCCATCCTCGTCCCTGCATCCGGGCCCTGCATGGTGCCTTCTCTCTTCGTACTTTGGATGGAAGCTTTGTGCCCTGGCTTCTGTACTGGATTCTCTCCCTTCCCACCACCTCAAGGACGTTGCTCGGGCTCTTCTCTTCTCTCCCCCACATCACCAGTGCTTGCTCTCCACTGGCTCTTTCTCATTAGAGAAACATATGGTTATTTTTCCCATTTAAAAATGTTTCTTGGGGCACCTGGGTGGCTCAGTCGTAAAGCGTCTGCCTTCGGCTCATGTCATGATCCCAGGGTCCTGGGATAGAGCCCTGCATTGGGCTCCCTGCTCGGCGGGAAGCCTGCTTCTCCCTCTACCACTCCCCCTGCTTTTGTTCCCTCTCTCACTGTGTCTCTGTCAAATAAATAACATCTTTAAAAAAATAAATAAATAAAAATAATAAAAATGTTTCTTGACCTCACTTCTCCTTTTACTTCCCACCCAACCTCTCTCCTTCCTTTACCACAAAACTCCTCCAAAGAGTTGCCCACACTGTACCCCATCCCTCTCCTCCCATCTTTCCTTGAGCCCATCCACAGACTTTCACCCCACTACTCCACCAAAACCATTCTTGTCAAGGTCACCAACGCCCTTGGAAATCAATTCCCAGACTTGTGTTACTTAATCCATATACAGCATTTGACACAACAGATCTTTCTCTCCTCCATGGTAACTTTCCTTCTCTGGGCTTCCGGCATAACACCATCCCTCAGATTTTTTCTTCTCTACTTCATAGCCATTTCTCAGTCTCTTTGATGGTTCCTACTCAATTCTAAAGCCATTTAATGTCAGAGAGCTTCAGGATTCAGTCCTGGCACCTCTCTATTTTTCCTCCCTTAGTGACTTTCGTGGCTTTAAACAATACCCACATGCCAATGACTCTCAATTCTTTATCTGCAACCCAGACCCTGCAAAAGTTGTACATCCAACTGCTTTCTTGACATCTTGACACACCTAACAGACACCTCAAACTTAATATGTATTAAACCAAGCTCCTGCCCTCCCCCCACCCCACCTTCTCAGTTAATATTCAAACCAAAAATTCCTCCCTTTCTCTCACGACCGCCACCTCATCTATCAGAAAACCTTACTGGCTCTACGTTCCAAATACATCCAGAACCCAACCACTCCTCACCACCCTCCTGCTACCTACCACAATGACACCACCATCTCTCACCAGATCATTTTAGTGACATCCTAAATGGCCTCCTGCTTCTACTCTGGCTCAGATGTGTTCTCATACATCAGCTGAAAAGATTCTGTTAAAACAGAAGTCAGATCCATGTCCATCCTCTGCTCAAAATGTTCTAATGGCTCCCATCTCAGAGTAAAAGTGGAAGTCATCCAAATGGCCTTAGGGTCCTACGTAGTACAATCCCTGCCTGCTCTCGTCAACCTCTCTTCACTCCCTCTCTTCACTCCAGCCACACCCACCTTTTTGCTCTTCCTCAAAAATGGCAAGTGTGTTTCCACCTTACCACAACCTTTGCATTTACAGTCCCCTTCTGCCTAGGACCCTTCTTCCTAGCTAGATAGCCAGATGATTCACTCCCTCACCTCCTTCAGCTCACTCAAATGTCATCCTCTTGTTGAGACCATCTCTGATGACACCTTATACATTCTGTATCCCCCCCCCGTTTTATTTGCTTCCATAGCTCCTACTGCCATCTAACATACTAGAGATTTCACTTATTTTGTTATTGTCCTCTGCTTCTCCTAGAATGTACGCTCCTTGAAGGCAAAGGTTTTGCCTGTTTTGTTCACTGCTGTTTCCCTTGTGCCTAGAAGAGTACCCAGTACATGCAACAGCTATCCATAAAATGTGATGGAATGAGGGCCCCAAGGGAGTATGAAGAGTTGAGATCAGAAGGGATTCATCTTGGACAAGAGGGAAGCCTCCTCTTTCACTGCCCCGGAGCGGAGGTAAGAATGGACTCAGATAGGTTTGAAGGCAGAAATTTAAGTATTTCCCTCCTGGTTGGCCACAGTTTCTCTGGGACATAGAAGACAAGGAAGGACTTGAGGATAGTGGTGATGGACAGCCATAGCAGCCATGGAGAACGCGAGAAGGAGCTGAAGACACTTGGAAGGACTGACAATCCAAGTGAAATTGAAAACCTGGGTTTGCCTTGGCACCAGTCTACCTGGCTGGGCGATTTTCTTCAACACCATGGGATACACAACGAATGGGAGTGTCAAAAGTTGTCGCTCGGCTTTTTCTTGAAAAAGTAAAAAGACTCCCCTCCACTACCTGAGTGCCTCCGTTTACCCATTCAGGGCGCCATCACCAATCATCACCAGCCAGCCACTGGCTTCGTGTTAGCAAAATGAGCAGAGGGTGTGTTTAAGAGGAGAGAAAAGGAGGAGAGGCAGAAGAACAGGCCCCCTCCCAGACCCGTGGGAAGGAGCCGGACCATTTAGCCTTCCCTCAAACCTGGAAATTGATATATATACACTAGGGCTCAAATTCTGAGCCTCCTCCCCAACCCCTCCTCCTCCCCAGTACCTTCCCCCGCTGTCCCCGCCCTGCCACCTACCGGTCCACTTCTTGTCGCGCTCCACCCCCTCCGAGCCCGCGCGCTTTTCCTCCACGTGCTTCTCTGTATATACCGGTCGCCTGGGAGACCCCGGCCGGGCGGGGCTCTCCTGACGCCACAATAGGAACAAGCCAATAGCCGTGACGCGTCTCAGTGACGCGAGACGCGCGGCGTGGCTTTGCCGGCCAGGGCGCAATGAGGCGGCTGCCCGCTGGGTGGCGCCGATTTCCCGGGGAGGTCCTTACCGGGCCCCCGGCGGAGGTGGGGGAGAGGCGGGCAGGAGCCGAGGCCAGGGAGCCCTCTGCGTCAGCTGCTGCTCACCGCGCCGCGCCAGTACCAGCCGGGACTCACCCACAGCTCCATGCTTGTGCCCGGCTCCGCTCGTCCATCGTCGGAGAAGAGGCAGGTACGTGCCACCTGTCGGAGACTAGGGAGGAGGGATGCGGAGGTCAGCGGCCGTTGTTGGCTCAGAAAGTGAGGTGTCAACGACAGCCTGGATAGAATGGGCACCAGACATGTAGAGCGAGCGCCAACTGTGCGGAGGAGCTCCAGCTGTGGGTGCCAGTTGTGGGGGGGGCGCTGCCAGCTGACAGCCCAGGGTGCCAGGAAGAGCCATCTGTGTGCTGATCAGTGTGTTCTAAGGAAATGCTGCTTGAGCAGGTCCGCGTCTCTGCGCCCTGTGCAGTATATGGCCTAAGAGTGACGCCTGGACACTGACAACCCCTTCCCCACGTGTGCGTCTGGTTCACTTCACCCTGTTAAAGCTCCTGGGGGCTGTCTCTGGTCAGTTTGCCAAAGGGGTGGGGGTGGGGGTGGGGCAGCAGTTAAGTGGAAGGGGAGATTTTCCACCAATCCCAAACCAGAAGGAGGCATCTTTGAAATTCTCACCAATCCCAAACCAGAAGCAGGCACGCGGTGCTCCAAGGCGAGTAACTTCTACTTAACAGGCACGGCAAGCCCTTGGCCAACCCATTCTAGCTGTCCTCTGAGCAGTGAATGTCTGCCTCCCAATCCGGCTGCTTTTAGAATGGGGCTGAGCTGGAGATCGTGGTGATGTTCACTTCCCCAGGCATGGGCATGAGAAGGTTCCCCCAAGTCCAACCCTGTAAAGTGGAGGAAAGGAGAGCTGGTTGGGCTGGGGTTGGGGCATCCCCCACTCCTTTGATACTGTAGATGCACGCCAAACTAGAGTCGGAATGAGGACTGGAATGAGGGCCGGGGACGAGGGCGTCCTCTGAAGTGCATCACCGGGACCCAAGCTGAGTCAGTAGCTTCGGCTGAGACAGGGTGGAGGCACCATCCTGGGTACTCCCAGTCCTCAGGGAGAGCCATCGAGAAACAGGAAACACAGACTGGGAGCCGACAAGAGCACCAAGGCCCAAGAGGTTAAGAATCCTGCTCCGTCCTCCTGTGAGCCTGCCCAGCCCAGCTCTGTGGCCTTGGAATCCTGAGCACTCCGACAGGTAGAGTGGAACAACCCCAGAGCAGCTTTCTCCTGGCAGCCTCGGGCAGCTGGGCTTGCTATATTTTGCTAGGCAAAGGGGGAAGGAGCCAAAATAGGCCTGGCCCTTCCCCCACTGGATGGGCTGGACATCTGGAAATATAGCAAGAGTCATTTGCCCTTGCCAGTTATGGGACAGAAAACCATGGGGCTGTTGTCTGGCATTAGAACAGAGCACTCCCAAGGGGTGGCCAGAGGCCCTATTCTCCCTAGGAAGGCTTCCGTGGTAGGTGCGACTACAAATACTTCCACTAATTAGAATAGTGAGTGCAAGTATTCAGTATAATCATTATTGTCATTTATTGAACTTCTACCGTGTGCCAGGAAATTTACAAATATTATGTTATTTAATCCTCACAACTGTGAGGTATAGCATTATTATACTTTTTACTCCTGTTTTACAGATTAAATCACTAAGGTTCAGACGGCTTACATGACTTGCCCACTGTCTCAGAGCCAATAAAAGGGAAAGAACTGGACTACAAGCCCAGGCATAGAGGTCCATTAGAAAAGAGTTTGGACTGAACACCTGAGGGCAGGTCCCACCTGCCTCTCACTACCTGTGCGCCCCCAGATCTCTAGGTCTACTCCACCTCGAAAGGGAGGATTTGGGGGCGCCTGGATGGCTCAGTTGGTTAAGCGACTGCCTTCGGCTCAGGTCATGATCCTGGAGTCCCGGGATCGAGCCCCGCATCGGGCTGCCTGCTCGGTGGGGAGTCTGCTTCTCCCTCTGACTCTCCTCCCTCTCGTGCTCTCTGTCTCTCATTCTCTCTCTCTCAAATAAATAAATAAAATCTTTAAAAAAAAAAAAAAGAAAGAAAGGGAGGATTTGGACTAGCACCGAGGCTTCCTCCTCATCTCTCCATTGCACCCCCATCCCTCTATCCTCTTTCCACTTGTCTCCCCTTGGATCCCCCTTCTGTTCCACCTCAGAATGTCCCCCCTTCAGAGAGCCCTCGCACCATCTCCTCGCCTGGCACTGGCCCATCAGGGCAGCACCTCGAGGGAGGGCCTGCCACTGCCCCTTTAATTCTCCCCGGGCTTGGAATGCAAGTGAGTTGAGCTAGCCATCTCTGTGAGGTCAGATAAGATACTATATATATCGGAGTCGGTAACCTGAGCTCCGGATTACCCAGCCCCAGTCAGACTCCGGCCTCTGGGCTCTCCACCGCGCTCCCTGCCTCTCTGGGGAAGGAGAAGCCCCCAGATCCTGTCCAGTGCCCCCGGACACAGGTCAGTAGCTGCCCCTGTACTATGTGAGCTTCATGTGGCCCTGTCCAGACAGCCCAGTGTGTTTGGGGGAGCATGTGATAGGCTGCCCAACTGGGCCTGGAGGGTGCTTGGGGCAAGACGGACGGCGAAGGCTCAGAGGAGGCAGGCAGGGGCAGCAAGGACAGAGGAAAGACAAGCCCTGGAGGAAATGGAGGGAGACTGGGACTCTCCCCTGGGGTGGCGGCACCAGGAGAGCTCCCAACAGAGGTGATTGGGAAAGAGAATTTAAGGATACCAATATCGCCTGCAGACCCATTCCTTTCCCCTTCCTTGGAAGTGCAGAGATGGCCACCCCCTTCAAATCCGAAATCAAGAAGCGTGCTGTAGAGATTCTACCCTGGGCCCACCCCCTACTCCACCAGTCAGGATCTTGCCCTCATCTCCAATCTCTCTCATCCCTTCCTCCCTCTCCCAGCCCTTGGGCAACTACTGGGAGCAAGAGAGACAGAGATGGACCCAAATTCTCTTGAAAGGTCCCTTTCCAAGGCACGCAAGAGGATTAGGCACTAAACTGGTAGGCCGCTGGGTGCAAGCCCCTGAGAGACAGAGCTACTAGTGATAGGCTGGAGGGGAGGGGGCAGACTGAGGCTGCCGGGGACTAAGAGGTGTCCACAGAGATCCTGGAACATGCAAGCACAAACAGCCCCCACCTGAGTCCTCCACCCAACCTGCATCCACCACACCTGCCAGGACATCCCTCAACCTAGGAGTTGATGCTTGTGCCCAGACATTGCCCAAGCAGATAGGAGTGAGGGTCAGAGAGTGTCAATGAAGGGAGACAGGACCCCTCTCTTAGCCCTCTTTATCTTTCAAGGTCAGCACATCAGCAGTGCCTCATTCCAAGGGTGTTAGCAAGTGGCTTTGGGAAGCTCTGAGGTCACCACTGTGGAGGTTCCCAAGCACCTGGCGGGACTGGCTGGGACTCCCCACTCACCTGGCCTGGACACCTGGGTAGGAGGGAAGGACTGATCTCTGTTGAGGCACACCTCTGAAACCCAGCTAGGGGCTTTCTATCCAGCCAGTAGTAAGGCCACAGAAGCCGGCATGCCTTCACCCCAGAAAGCAGAGTGGATCCGGGAAGAGAGGGGCCATGAAGGCTGCTGGGATGTGGGGCATTACCCATCCCCTACCCTGGGGGCCAGGAGTGCCTACGATTCCTGGGGAGCCAGTCCCACCCCTGGCTGGGCAGGTTAGGGAGCCCTTCTCGTGAGCAACAGGAAATGACAGTTGCTGATGCACAGGGGCCTGGCTGCCCCAGGGAGACAGGGCTCATTTTAACCCCTGACTCATCTAGCCTGGGGACCTTGGGGAGTGGGCCAAGCTGCAGCAAGAGTAGGAGGCTGGGGGCCATGTCCATAACCAGGCCTCGGGCCAAGAGCCCTGGCTGGCGCTAAATGCCAGTGCCCGGGAAACGCTCGGGAGCTCGGCGCTGCGGGGGCAGTGGAGGCCTCCTGGACCATCTCTTGGCTGATCAGAATTGTACTGACGCTCAGGTTGCACTTGGCTTCGCTTTCATTTGCCCGCAGTGGAAACTCGAAGGGCCGCCTCCTCCGGGAGTCTGTACCTGCCACGCCGTGGCCTAGACAGTGGATGCCTGCGTCCTCCTGCCCCGTGCCAGCTCAGGGAGAGGCCAGGGAAGTGTGAGGTGGGGGGCGCTGGCTTCAGGGCGGCAGCCAGGGGGGCAGAGCACAGGTGCCAGTCCCACGCTGCCACTGCTCGCGTGCGACCTTGGGAAATCCACGTCCCTTCCGCCAACGCTGGTGTCCTCATCCGCAAGTGGGCATAAGGATGGCACCCACTGGGGCGCCTGGGTGGCTCAGTCGTTAAGCGTCTGCCTTCGGCTCAGGTCCTGGGGTGGAGCCCCGCATCGGGCTCCCTGCTCCCTCTCCCACTCCCCCTGCTTGTGTTCCCTCTCTCACTGCTTCTCTGTCAAAAAATAAAATCTTTAAAAAAAAAAAAGGATGGCACCCACTGCTGAGGGCAATCGTGAGGATTAGCACATTGGTACGTGGTGTCCCAAAAGTCTTCGTGCAGTTTCAAACTTCAGGAACTTCAGAAATAGGAAAGCTAAACGGTTCATTTAAAAGTTTATTTCATTCCTTGTCTATTTGTTGAATTTCGAATAAAAATACTAACTTCGATTTAATGTAAATCATTAAACCTTCACACGATGCTTCTAAGTTTAAATTCTTTCTCCGAAAGAATTAAAACCTAAAACTGCGCGGAGGCTCTGGGGACGCCGGGCAGGAAGTGCACTTAGAGGAGCACCGGGCGGGCAGGCAGTGCTCCAGGGAAGGCTGCGTGACCTGCGAGGAGCTGCGGGTGAAGCGCTCAGCACGGTGCCCAGGCCGGAGGTGTTCGGTGCCTGCTGGCCCGGTCATGGTCGCTGGGCTCACATGTCCTTTCAGGAAGCTGAGCGCTCTGTGCAGGGAATGCAGCTGCACCTCCCAAGAGGGGGAAACTGAGCAAAGTGAGGGGGAGCTCTGGCAGAGCAGGGAAGAGCGGAGGCGCCCGGGGAAGAGATGACATGAAGGAGGAGCTTGGCAGGTGGAGTGCCCCTGCTGTCCGAGGTGGCGGGCACCTGGGGAGGAGTTGCCTAGAGCCACATGCCTATACTTGCCAGCTCTGGGTAAACAGCAAAAGGAGACGGGCAGCAGGGGCCCCACGCCCGGCAGAGAGGGAGACGGGGGATCCCAGCCAATCGGCTCACCTCCCACTGCCCCATGAAAGGGCCATTCAGTCCAGGCCGTTCCTGTGGCAACGAGGAGACTCAAAGCCATGTGAGTGCCCGTCCTGTCCCTGTCTTGCGCAGCAAGGCTACAGCCTGGGCCCAGCCTGCTCTCCCACCCGTGGTGTGTTCTGCAGTCTCCAGGGACAGCCATGCCAGGTAATGCCAAGGGGCACCAACCCAAGCTGTCTCGGCTCACCTGGAAGGTGTTGACACTTTTCTCAAGAGTGAAACTAGGGGTTAGGGGAGGGGATAGGCATGCTAAAGGCCTCAGCCCCAGTAGGGACCCTCTGCCCAGACAGGGGGACCCTAGGCCCAGTGTCAGCACTGAAAGGCAGCTGCCAGGGAGCTCTTGGTGATGGCATGACCCCCCCAGGGCTGCTGTGGCAAGGTGGGGATGGGGGATGGTCTGCCACTTGCCTGCCAGATTGGAGCAGACAGGAGAGCGGGGATTTAGGGAGGCCTCCTGGGAGTCAAGGTGTGACTCCACCTCTAGCCCCAACCCTTCCCAAGGAATACTTGCAGGCCTTCCCAGGGCTGTCTGTCCCTGTCCCTTGTACCTTGTTTGGCCCCAGCACTTCTGCGTCATTAGCGGGGCCAGG